ATATTTTAGCCAATTTTCAGTCCTATTTGTCAGTTACTTTCGTGTTCAGTCTTTTCGTGTTCTTGCTTGTGTTTAAGAAAATACAAACATTTTCTATCGTCTTGTGTACCTTAAATGGGAAAAGATCCCAGGGGTGACAAGACGCAAAGAAGGAGGAATTAAAACTCTCCGCCTATGGCAAAATGTTACCATTTTAAGTGTAACATATTATTACTATAGGAGGCTTCCTGGTCGTGGGAAGACCTGAAGGGACCTTTTAAATTATTTCGTTCATAGCCCGCTTAACTTGCCAAATGCCGGGTTAGAATATTACGCTGAACAATAATTAACTGCGTTGTACCCGGAAGGGAACGTTTGTCCACGAATCAAAACTGTTCACGATGAAGCCATTAAAAAATCGCAAAGTCGGCAAGAAACACTTTTACCGAGGAATCGGAAAAACTTGAATAAATTATTATGTTAGTGTATTATTCTTCAGCCAGTAAATCTGAACACAGTGCACACAAAAATCCACGGAACCGTTATGGGATTTATTGAGCTTGTTATTTGGTAGCGCAAACTTTATAAGCTTGGTACGTTATCCCAGCTAACTAACATGGGCTAGTTCAAAAACAAAGCCAATTAAGAAGTCTGGTGTGCGCTAAAACTTATGTGACAGGAATCAGGATTTGTTGATATACATTCAAATAGAAAAGATAACATAAATGGGCAGAACATGGGAATTGGGACTCCTCGTAAGGCAGGTGGTCTCGCGCTAAATTCAAGGGAGATGAGGGTTAGGATTGAGGTTGGTGTCAGAGTTATGGATTGTGGGTTGTGGATACGGGAATAGGTACTCTTCCCGGAATTTGGTTCAGGGTCACCCGTACTACGGGATGGTCCTAGTCCTGCAGTGCGAAAAGTAATTTCTTCAGCACTGCATATATTCGTGTCTGTTTAAACGCTCGTAGTTATTGTATGGGCATGCAAAGGGGATCCTGGGTCGGAACCCACGCTGCAACTATACGGTCACTCTCGATTCGTTTACGCGGCTGAATATTCCGTAGACGACAATACACTATCGAATGCACTATGCTGCAAACACACTGTCGGCAGATGCAACGTCTTCGGCCAACAGTTGCAGCCGATGCGAAGTAGCCGCTAGCCTCTGTGCACGCACCAATTTATAAAGTTGCGCAGGTAGTCATTCGCCCTAATCAATCGTCAAATGTACCGTTATTCGGTAACTTTGTTCTCCAATTCACGGCGGTGAGTCTCCACACGCTAACATAGGCCCCCACGTAACTGTGTTTGTACTTGATTTTTGAAACCCAGTACTTGTATTGTGTCAGTGCTTTCCTACCGTTTCGGCTTTGTATGCATCGGCGCGAATCCGAGACGCCAGGCGAAAAAGTCTTGTTCCATCTACAAAATCTATCCCCTCTCAACTACTTCCTGCAATACGTTTTTTCGCCGAGGGACTCTGCTTGACGACCGGTCGCCAGTTGCAGCACATGTTTGAACTCAGCCCCGACAAAGGCCAGATGGACAAGGACGAGGAAGACATTGGAGGGGCACTGGTGTGGGAGATGCCAAACCGCACCGTGCAGAAAGTACTGGCGGCGAACGCTTGATGGGCGAGACAGGGTAGTTGGCATGAGCTTACTGAAATGAATAACTCGGATCCGAGGTGGAGCATATAGCAGAGGTTAATGTCTCTGGTGGACAGAATGTTGATCCCTTCGTGAACGCAAGAT